TATATGTGCACACGTGAATCAGTCAATAAAGATGACAGAAGAAGAATTGATGCCTTAGAGCAGTGGTGTTGGAGAATAACACTGAACATCCCATGGACAGCCAAATGAACAAACAGATATGTCTTGAATGGAGTGTTCATATATGTGACATTTTTAGATGTCTCAGTTTTTAATGTCATGTAATTCTACCTCAGGTTTATTGTTTGTTAAAGCACATGGGTCTTATTTAAAGCAGACATAGGTTATCTATCAGCACACAAGATTTATCAAAATCTCTGGGAGAAAATGAAGAATTCTTTTAAAAAGACTGTCAGTTTATTCATTGAAATAATAGAAAATATTTCTTTAATTAATCAGGTGAGCAGAGAGCCGGAGCACAGGCTTGTGCCTGTAGAATTTATATATTGTTTGTTACCTTCAGCTTTACTTGATGGAGCTGTTAGGAAACACTGTGATGATTGAAAATTGAAAAAATTGTGATGATTGAACAACATTAAAACTAATGAATGTTACTGAGCTACACATATAAAAATTGTCAAGAAAGAAAATGGTTATTCCTCATACACACTTATCACAATTTAAAAAGCAAAAATAGTTGGACTTGACCAAAAAAAGAAACATCTAATTGTTAAGGAGGTAAAAAGCAATGAGTGTTAGAAATATACTGTATATTACATCCTTTAGTTAGCATCATTAAATGAAACTGTTGTTGTTGTTGTGTACCATCAAGTTGGAACAGAACCGTAGCTGACCCTCTGGTGGTTTTTCAGAGGTAGTTAATTGCATGGGAGGAGATTGCCCATCCTTCTCTGCTCCATGAAATTAGAGTATGATTAATAAAACTCCTTCCTTAAGTATATGTTGTTGTTCTCCTGAGAACACTGAAAGCCATGGCCATTAACCAGTTATCGCCTTTAACACATTTAAACAAGATTGGTGGCCAAAATGTGGTACATGTAGAGAGAGATCTTTTTGCTCTGAGATTTTTATTTAGCTTTTCCTCTAGTCCATTACACTATGCTTGTTTTTTGTTTTGTTTTCTGTTTATTCTTACTCAATTTTTGTCCCCATATTGTAATCTGGTTCCCCTTCTGAACGCTCTAGGGATTTGGTTGTGGTGGCAGGAAGCTTGTAAATAAACAGACATCTTCAGGGAGTGTTGTTATAGAAAGTAGCTTGCTAGAAAATGACAAAGATAAATACAGTATCATCTCTACCTTTGTAGTGCCATTGGACCAGATTCAGTGTATAATATAGATCCCAAAGTACTGTGACTTAAGTATTATAATATAGAGATACTATAAGAGATTTAAGGCACCAGCAGTCAGGAAGATAAGGAGATGTATGGCTTTGGGCAAGCCTGCTGTCAGGGACCTCTCCAAAATAATTAAGAGCAGTGATGTCAGCTTGAAGACTTAGGAGATGTGCCTGATTGCCACACCATGGTCTTTTCAGTATCCTGCTGCGTATCTGAGAGCTGGACAATGAATAAAGATGAGAAAAGAATAATTGATGCCTTTGTGTTGTGCTGGAGAAGAGTACTAAGTATTCCATGGACTGCCAAAAAAAACCAACCGACATATCTCAGAAAAAGTGGAAGAAGAAAGGGTAAAAGAGTGAATAGATAATGAACACTGCATTAGAACAGATGAGGGGAAGAACTGTCTGAAAGGAATGTATGATTAGGCATTATTTGTGTGTGACAACATTCTGGAGCAAGGGGTGTATTGCAGAGTAAACTGTGTGGCAGGATGGAATGGGAGAGAAGAACGGTCAATGAATAAAACAACAATAAATGAATGAAAACCCAACCTCTCTATAACATTCCTTAAAATCACAGTAATAATAATAATAATTAATAAATGCAGCCAGAGTGCTCCTTGTAGGCAATGATAAAGCTCTGCCTTCTCACACTTTGGACATGTTGCTAGAAGAGGCTTTTCTTTGGAAAGGTGTATCATACTTGAAAGATGGAGGGCCAGCAAAAGAGAGGAAGACTCTCAAAGAGATGGATTGACACAGTGACTGCAGCAGTGGGCTCAAGTGTGTCAGAGATGTTGAGGATGGCACAGGGTAAGACAGGGTTCAGGTCTGTTGTTAATAGGGTCACTGTGAGTCATACTAGACACGACAGCACCTAACAACAACGGTGTAACCTAATGGGTAAGGGGTTGTGCTGCAAGCCAAAGGCAGACAGTTTGAATCCACCAGCTATGAATTATTTACACATAGTAATGAATGAGCGAGGGAGTGACAAGAACTTCGGAAAACAGAGAATTCCTTTCAACTATAAAGAAGGATTTTGAAAAATTCATTTATGGTGTATTGTGGTATATGGCTAGCTTTAAACATTTCTTTCCTCCAGATTTGCTTTTCCTCTTTGGTTTACTGAGCCTAATCTAGTTTTTTTTTTTATGAGCCATTTTTTTTAAATACAGCCTTTTAAAATTTATTTAGTAACTTCTTTTTATGTTTTCCCTCTAAAGAATGTTTATTTTTATCATGGTAAATGAGTACATGGCTCAAAATTTAAAATTAGTATGGTGTTAAATTCCACTGTTGATTCCAACTTCTCAGTGTTAAATGTGCAAAATTCTGGCCTCCTCCAGGCACTTTCCACATATATCCAAATAGCCTATTTGGGTTTTGTTTGCATTTTTGAAGGTTGCTTCTTAAAAATTCTGGGACTTAAGTATTTGTTATAAAACATTTGCAATTTTAACAGTCTTCACGTATACAGTTCACAGTGTATATTCATCCTTTTGCTCACCGATCAGCCTTTTTAATTTTCAAATGATACTTTTCACACTTAACTGAAGAAACTGTGTTTTTAAATTAGTAAGATCTATCAACAATATGCATTATGCAAATGACACAACCCTGAGGAGGACCTGAAGTGCTTGCTGCAGAAGGTCAAGGACTGCAGGCTCCAATATGGATTGAGGCTCAATGTCAAGAAGACAAAGATTCTCACCACTGGACCAATTGGCAGCATCAGGATGGATGGTGAAGAGATTGAGATTTTTTAGCTCCACAGTCAACACTCTTGGCACCAGTAGCCAGGAAATAAAAAGGCGTATTGCGATGGGAAAGTCTGCTGTTAGGGACCTCTCCAAAGTACTGAAGAGAAATGGTGTTTCTCTGGAGATTAAGGTGCATCTGATACAGGCCATGGTCTTTGCTATCACTTCTTGTGCATCAGAGAGTTGGACAATGACCGAGAAGGACAGAAGGAGAATTGGTGCCTTTGAGCTGTGGTGCTGGAGAAGAGTATTGAGAGTACCGTGGACTGCTAGGAAAACAAACAGATTCATCCTGGAAAGGGTTAAACTGGGTGGCTCCTTGGAAGCAAGGATTCTGAGGCTCTGTCCAACATACTTTGGACATTTTCTCAGAAGAGACCGGTCCTTGGAGAAGGACATCATGCTTGGGATAATGGAGGGACAGCGCAGGAGGGGAAGGCCCTCTATGAGGTGGATTGATTCAGTGACTGGGATAATCGGGACGGGAGTGCCAGAGACAGTGCGATTGGCACAGGACAGAGCAGAGTTTAGGGCTGTTGTACATAGGGTTGATTCGCAAGCGACTCGATGGCACATAACAACAACAAGAATAATTATTTTATATTCAGCCTAGATGTTGTCTCTCATATTTGGGCCATGTTTTTAGGAAGGGCTAGTTCTTGAGAAGGACTTTATACTTGGAAAAAATAGAGGCTTTTTTACAAAGGGGAAGCTCCTCAACAAGATTGTCATAGTGAGTACAACAGTAGTTCCAGCCCAGGAGCAGTTGTCAGGATGGGACAAGATTGCAAAATAGGGCATCGTTCTGATCCATTGTACGTAGTGTAACTGCATCATAGCTGACACCAAGGCACCTAACAACAACAAAGTCAACCTTTAAAAAAAACTTAAGATTAATTTCAATGAAAATTTGCAAAGAGTTTGGATTTCCATTCATTCACTGTTGCATTTTTCTCCCCTCCAACCCTCTCCCCTAGTATACTACCCTCTTGGAAAAGTGAAAGAAAAATTCTTTCATTGTTTTACAGTCTTTCCCCCACCAGGTCCAGTCCACTATGCAGCCTTCATTCTGGACTCCTGTCATGACAAAAAATACCTAATAACATATCCCTCTTAAACAGTTTTCTCCCTCATGTGTTTCAATGCAGTATACATTCTTGAACCCGTCTTTCTCAGTCTCCCCCAACCCCGAGGTCATTCCTGTTTTACAGCAGTGGCACTATGCAGTATTTGTCCTTTGGTGACTGAGATGCTTCACTCAGCATAATGTCCTCCAGCGTCACCATTTTGAATAATATTGCATGCGTTCCTTGTTTTTCAATGCAGCATAGTATACCACAGCTTCTCTATTTGTTTGTTGATGGGCACTTAGGTTGTTTCCAACTCCTTGCTATTGTGAAGAAAGCCATAATAAACATGGGTGTGCATCAAAGTCAACTTTTTTTTTTTTTAAATTTTTTTTCAAAGTCAACTTTTAAGAAGAACTCAACCAGGTGGGTTGACACAGTGACTATAGGAACTGGCTAAGTGTGAGAGAGCACAGCATAGGGATAGGGTTAAGATCTGTTGTTCATAAGGTCGCTCTGAGTCATTCTCAACTCAAGAGGTACTTAGCAACAACCACTGTCACCACAACTTATGTATACTCTTACAGAGCTCTCACATGTTCTCTGTGAACTCTTAATTTAGGTTCCCTCAGAGAAATAGTTATCCTAAAATTTGTTTGTTAGATCTAGTAACCTTCACTTTTTTAAAGATACCTTTAATTTAGTAATTTGTTTAGCAAAGAATTTAACATATAAAAGGAAATGTGGCTGAACATGTGATTTTTTTTGTTGTTGTTGTTGTATTTTATGCCTGTCATTCAGATACAGTGTACTTTTTTGGTCTTGATTCTCAAATCACGCCTTACTTTGAAATTCATGGAATTTTTTCGACATTAACAAAGCTTCATTAAAATTGCTTTTTCAATTACAGGTTTTTGGAAATGCTCCACCAAATACGATGACAGAGAAATTTTCTGATCTTCTGCAGTTCACAACACAAGTCTCACGACTGATGGTGACAGAAATTCGAAGGAGAGCATCAAATAAATCTACAGGTATTTTTATGGAAGCCAGCAAAATTAAATTGATTTTGATCAACAATGTGTCGATGCACTATTAAAATAGAAAATAAATACAGTTACCAGTTGCTGTTTCCATTTTTATGGACATACACTTGTATTGACTAAAATGTTTGCATGAATCCTCCTTTTGGACCACCACTAGCCCACCGCATAACTGCTATAACCAGTGTACCAGTTGCTGTTAATTCTGACTCATGGTGACCTTACGTGTATCAAAGTAGGACTGTTTTGCATAGGGTATTCATTAGCGGAGTTTTGGAAGTAAATCACTAAATCCATTTTTCCCCTCTCTTGAGAAACTTCAGGGTGTATTCATACCACAACCTTTTCTTTGGCAGTAGCTGACAAGGCTGTTTGCAGCACATAAGAACTACATCTAATGCTTTATTAAATAAATTCTTTCTGAATAAAACCCAAATTTTTTAGCATGACTTTCTAGCCAAATCCGTTTCATGTATGAGAGAGAGAGTGCAAACGTGCTGGTTTTGGTTTTTTCTTCTTTCTATATTTCAGATAAACTTATTGTCATAAAACTTGTCTCTGTCTCATTTCTGTTCTTTACTGTGATTTTTCACATTGGGAAGAGAATTTCTCCTTTCTCAATGTATAAGTCCTCATAAGTATGAATTTGAATCGCATTTTCTTGATGGATTTTTTATTCTCTTAATTTTCTGAATCATAGAGGATAGCCCTATATAAATGATATATCACTTGTATGTTGTACTCAACTGCACAAGTTATGTTTTTGTTTCCCTTCCTATTAGACCGACCATAAGCTATTTGGCCTCTTTACATGATCTACAGTACTTACCATAGTGCTTACTCAAACACAAACGTATTGCAGTGGAAAAAGATTGCCTTTATCCTGAGCTGCCATTTGGTGGATTTGTACTGCCGGAGATAACGCAGCCTTTGGGATAGCAGTTTATGTCACTATGAACAATGCCACTGGAGTATGATTTTATAAATGCTCCATGGATATTCTTATTTATTCGTAGGTAATTTGAAACTTCATGAAGTAACATCCCTTTTAGTTAAGATTAAAATAAACTTGCCTTTAAATTACCCTCTCTCTTCCAAATTAATTAGCATTTACATTTGCCTGATCTCACCTTTTGTTTTTGCTTCAGTTTTGTAAACAGCCATCTGACTGATAGGTCTCTTACTGAACCAGGAGATTATACCTGATGATTTAAGACTTGATTCTGATTTTACCTTAGGAAATCATTTATCTTTTAAAATCTGTCTGTTTATTTCTTTAATGTTCAGAGTAATGTTTTAAGTATGTAATTTTGCCTTTTGTTAAGTTTAGAGGGTTGAAGTGTTTCTTTAAATTAATTATCCATTTGCTTAGTTTTAAGAATCAAATAGTTACAAAAGTTTCACAACAGCATTTCCCTGCTGCTAATGCAGGCTAGCAGCCTGGCTCTCATTCCTTAAAGGCAATCATTGAAAGTTCTTACAGTATTTAACTTTGTGTTTCTAAATAGCATGTTTGCCATAATATTTTAATTCCTTAAATTTTTCCAGGTTTAGATAATGCCTTTTCATTTCCCATAGTTAGTAATGGGACTTACACTGTTAAACACATCACCATCACACTATATGTGCTCACACCTGCACCTTCAAGTATGTTCTGTTACAATTTTGAGGAGACCAGTATTTAGTGTATTGTTACTATAAAAACATCATTCTAAGGTGATCTGGAAAGTATACCATTACTACGTTTCCTTTCTTGAAAAATTCTAAACCCTTCAATTTCCTTATTTTTATTTTTTTTTTACTACCATTCTACACTTATATCACATTTATATCTTTTCCCTCATTTTTCTGAATGTCTCTTCAATATCATTGAGTATGTCAGATATTTTTATCAGTTCATCTTCCTGGAAGAATCTCTTCCAGAAGCTCTGAACTACTTTAATCTGGGGTACTTCCAGAGCATTTATCATATCTCCTGCATTTACTAGTTGCCTATTCTCCAAAGATTATTAGCAGACTAGTTACTGAAAGAAGGAAGTCAACAATGTCCCAAATGTTTGATTTTCTCTACCATTCCATGATTTCCCACCTTACCTGTCCATGATTTCTACATCAACTTTTCCTCCTTTGTTCATTTCTCCCTCTTAAGTTCTGTGGTTCACTGTAAGGTCTCACAAAAATTCAAACATGGGAGAGAAATGACTCAACATGAGTGTGGCTGTTGCAGGCCAGTGTTATAAAGAATGATGAGCTAGAAGCCAGGATCCTGTAGATTGTCATTTGTGATACTGCTAAACAATGTGTCCCAGGGGAGCGAGCATTCCAAAAGAGTGTGAGCATTGAGCTTCCATGGGCTTATACAGGTCACTGGCAGGGTAGAAAGTACTCACTTGGCATTTCTCAAGCTGTGAAAGAACTGAAAAACAAATTCAGGCCTCGAGTTGGAATACTTAGAGATCCTGTGGGCAAAATCTTGAGTGATCTAGGAAGCATCAAAAGAAGATGAAGGTCTTTCCAAGCTCTGCATAGTCACACCTGCCTTAACATGTGTAACTTTCATATTGGAGAGAGAGAAAAATGATCTGCTCCAGCCCTCGGAGTGGTCTTGTCATGGTTCCTCTTTCCTGGAGGGGTGCTACAGATCTTGAATTTAAAAGGGGGCACAGAAAGAAGATGGAGGGAATACACAGATTCACTGTACCAAAAAGAATTGTCTTAACACCCAAGTATTTCAGGAAATATCGTATGATCAAGAGCCAATGGTAACAAAAGAAGTTCAAGCCTTACTGAAGGTATTGGTAAAAAATAAGGCCCAGAAATCAATGGAATATAAAGTGATATGTTTCACCTAACATATACAGCCCTGGATATGCTCCCAAGACTATGTCAGGTAATTTGGAAGATGACTTTCTGGCCAGCTGACTGGAGGAGACCCATATTTGTCCCATTTCCAATAAAAGTGATCCAACAGAATGTGGAAACTATTGAACAATATCTTTAATGCCACATGTAAGCAAAATACTACTGAAGATCATTCCAAAACAGCTAGAACAGTATATAAGACAGAAAACTGCTTAAAAGTTCAGGTTGGATTTAGAAGAGTCCATGGTACCAGGGATATTATTGCTGATGTCAGATGGATCTTGGTTGAAAGTAAAGAGTACCAGGAGAATGTCTGTTTATGCTTTATTTTCTATGCAAAGGTTTGTTGTGTTTTTTTGGTTTTTTTTTTACTGTGTGGATCATAACAAATTATGGCTAACATAGAGAATGGAAATCTGAGAAATGGAAATCTATGCTTGTGTAAAACCTATACCTAGACCAAGAGACTGTTGTATGAATGGAGCAAGGGAACACTGCGTGGTTAAAATTAAGAAAGGTGTGTGTCAGGGTTTTCTGTTCTCCATACCTATTTAATGCTGAAAAAATTATTAGAGAAGATAGACTCTATAAAGAAGACTGTGGCATTGGAATTGGAAGAAGATACATTAGTATGCTTCGATATGCAAAGGATACAACCTTGCTTGCTGAAAATAAGGAGAACTTGCAGTGCTTGCTGCAGAAGATCAAAGACTGCAGCCTTCAACATGGATAGCATCTCAACATCAAGAAAACAAAAATTGTCCCCACTGGACCAATAGGGTAACATCATGATATATGGAGGAAAGATTGAAACTGTCAACAAATTCATCTTGTTGAGATCCATAATCAGTACACCTGTTACCAACAGTAAGAGATTAGGAGATGCACTTGGAAAGTCTGCAGTCAAAGAACAATGATGTCACTTTGAGGTCTAAGTTGTGCCTGATTCAGGCCATGGTTTTTTTCGGGCACTCACTGTCCAGTTGAGAGCCAGACAGTGAATAAGAATGACAAGAAAAATTGATGCCTTTGAGCTGTATTACTGGAGAAGAGTATGAACATCCCATGGAGTACCAAAGAACAAACAGATAGGTCTTGGAGCAGGTGCAGCTAGAGTGCTCCTTGGAGACAAAGGTGATAAAGCGTAGTCTTGCATACTTTGGGCATGGTGCTAGGATAGACTTTCCTTAGAGAGGAACATTATGCTTTGAAAGGTGGAGGGACAATGAAGGAGAGGAAGACCTTCAACCAGGAGGATTTTTGCAGTGAGTGTAGCAACAGGCTAGAGTGTGTCTGAGGTGGTGAGGATAGTACAAGATAGGACGGGTTCAGATTGTTCATAGGATTGCTGTATGTTTTACTTGATTTGAGGACACAACAGTAACAGTAGGTTGAGGCTTATATCCCACCCTAATCCTATCTTCTTTGGGTTCACAGCACAATTCCTTATGCACTAGGCCACCAGAGTTACCAAATCCTATCTCCTTAAATACTTCATCACAAAATTAAAAGTAAGCAAGGGCTAGGAAAGCCATTTTGGACAATAAACCTTCAAAACACTTCAATAAACCTTTGATATCATCTCAGGGATTCGCTTACTTTGGTTATATCCTGTTTCCAGAATTCCATTTCATCATCCCTTAAAATAGCTTTCTTGTTTTGGTGAAGTATTTTCTCCAGAGGCTTCCTTGGATTTGTTACAGTGGAGGGTTTTTTTGTTTGTTTGTTTTGAGATAACCTCCAGATGAAACTTTTCACTATTGTATGAAGTGAATACCTTCCCCCCCCACCCCCCATTAAAAAAGGTAGTACCTTCAGGCTGAGTACATGTGAGATAACTAAGTTTGAGACAGATTTTGTTGATGTCAGATAACATGGTTTTGTTGAGAAGGGAGAAGCTTCAAGAACCAAGGGTCATCAAGAAGAAGAGCCACAGACCTACCACTGCACCTTCTTTACAGTGACAAGTGCATGCCAGGGAGGTTTGCTGAATAGGCAGGTAGGGTTTGCATTTAGATGGAGAAATTTCCCAAATTATCCTCCCAGTTACTCTCCATTTTTAAAAGGCAAGTGTGATAAGTAGCTATTAGGAAAGACACATACAAATTCTTGTGATCAACACTTTGAGT